ATGAACCGGGGTGTTTTGGTCATTTTGCTTTTTCGTACCGCTATAAGCTAATCCAAACACTTTTTACAAAACTCCAGTTTGATACCTCATAAGTTAATAAGCACTTTTACAAAAAAGCATAAGTTGTTTTAAATAAGCAATCCCAAACACCCCCTAAACCAATTTCTCTTTCACTGTCATCCGAACCCTTTTGGGAGTAAATAACGTTTTTAGTCCTTGTGATTTATTAAAAATTGCTATTTTGATACTTGTATTTTTTTCAATTACGGTTTTAGTCCTTGTAGGTTACAATGTGTTGTTTTTTCGCCCCTATAATTTATAACTAATTGCATTTTTCGTCCATATTATTTACAAGTTACTGCTATTTTGGTTACAAATTTGTTACTCCTTTTTAATGTCTAAACATGGTTAAAATTATCAACTCTTGTATACTTAGTGACAGTGAATGTAAGATCCCACAACGGTTGGGGAGAGAAATTAAGGTTACCTTATAAAGGATCGGATGCATTCCTATCAAATATGTTTTAACACCGTGAATTCAGGTATGGACAAAACGAACAATATCTGATATGGTTGGTTTGAAATGTTATAGTAAATTCTTCAAATTTACTCCACGAAAAACATATGTTTGCTTTTAACTTTTGTGTTTCACACAACCAAAATAAGATATAACTAAGGTTCTAAATAGCATAAGGCTAACACGTTCTTAGAAGTTAAAAACTAGCTACCCTTTTAGAATATTGGGTATAACGTTAAATTCATTTTGAGATGCATTAATGGGCCTGAAAATCAGGACCGACCCAGGCCTGGCCCAAAACTAGGACCGCTTGATGCAAAGCCCGATAAGATCCATATAAACATTCTAACATATATCATGCAAAAAAGTATGGAAGTAAAAAATAGTCGTTTTCTTGATGATCAAACATCATTTTTCAGATGAAAAATCGAGTGCCATTACAGAAACTGAAGGGAAAACTTGAAACAAAACTACGAGGGGTAAGTGCATTAGATAATAAAATACATGAATATATTGTTCTAATATCTCCCTCGGCCCCTACTGAACCCACCGCCACGACCGCCACCACCACGAAACCCACCGCCTCTACCACCTCTTGGTGCACCTCTACCACGGAAAGAACCACCACGCCCGCCACCTCTTCCACCCCCACGTCCACCTCCTCTTCCGCCAGTGCTTGCTCCCCTGAGACATCATAGTTTAAAAGATCCAAAAAAGAAGGATTAACCCACAATACAAGAATCTTGATAAACGCAATAGCCAACAGGCACAATTATAATTCTTGACAGAGCCACTTTTGTAAGTATACTTGCAATACACAAATGCTACATAAAATTCAGATGAACTGTACCACATCCCTTACATTTAACTAACATGTGAAGCAATTTCAAACCAATTAAGAGACCAAACTCTTTCAACATACTGAATGTGACAACAAGTACTCTATGAAAGAGCTTTGAGGAGAAAAGGGAGGTCCAACACACCCCTCCACAATAGAAGCTAAATGGGCACAAATCATCCTAGAGTGTCAAGAAGGAGCTAGACAGGTGAGGGGCGAGTGGTAGACTTTACTTTGGCTACCATGTGAGAGTATATGGAACCCTACTGGAGTCCTCTCCAAAAGAGCCCTAGAGAAGAGAAGTAAGGTTCCAACATATATTGAGCAGAAATTGTCCAAGTCCAACCGATGTGGGACTCCGACACTGAATATGTATTTCTTCAACTTGTGAGCTTTTTGCTGTTCAATGACATTCAACATACAGACATATACGAAAGAGTAATTTACCCGGTAGTATCCTGTAACTCAACCTTCCTAGAGATCAAGGGTTCCAATCTCACAAAGTTGAGGAGTTTGTGAGTTTTACTTATCGTATATAAATACTATATACTTAAAAAAAAGCATATGGTGTGCAGGGGTTTATGAGACAATCCGAACAGAAAAATCTTGATGCTAGGTCAAGAAGCATTCAAGAATCGGATAATGACCTTCCTTAAATTAATTAGCTACATCAAATAATTGAGCATTTGCAATAAAAACTAGCGACTAAAATGAATGAAAATCCAGGATATGACTCATGGGGTTCTAGTTCGTTTCAGGAATGGGAATGCTAGGGAATGGAAATGAAAATGAGTTCTATTACCCCCAATCTGTATAGGAACATTTTATTTGCCTGTATCCTGTAATGACTCATTCCAGTGCATCAAATCAGACACCATTCACCTATGCTGTTAATATCGCGATATATCATCGATATATCGGCGATATATCGGATATCGCTCCTAGGAAAAAAATCGGACCTTAAATATCGGTCAAAATATCAGGAACGATATTATCGGCGATATTTAGCGATTTTTTAGCTATATTTTGAGGTAAAAATCGGACCGATATTCCGATTTTATAAGGTTTAAAAATTTGGGCTTTTTTTATTCCATGGGCCTAATTTTTTGGGCTGATAACTTAAATTAGGTCTAAATCTGAAATCATTGAAGCTTCCACTGTTAAGTAAATGAACTTCCACCGCACGACTTTCTTTGGTTAATCACGAGTTCACGACTTCAACAGTTCAACTTCAGACTTCTTCTTAGTTCTCACAACTTCGAGTCTTCGATTTCTTCTTCTTCTCACAACGTCTTCTCTTTTCTCGGTCTCTCTTCTCGATCTCCTCTGCTTTTCTCTGTAACCGACACAACATAGCCAGCGACAGCAACAGAGCCAGCGACAGCAACAGAGCCAGCAAGGCAGCAACAGCAATCAACAGCAACTGTAATCCAGCCTCCAGGTCTTACTATCACCCACCCACTCACTGTGATGTTTTAATTTTGAAACTATATTTCTAAACTCTAATTAATGCATATTATATATATAATTCTAAGATATATTATGTTAACCGCTATTTTGGACCGATATATCACCGATATAACCGATATATCGAATATCGGTCCTGACTGATATTTCGTATTCTGACCGATAAACAGCATAGCCATTCACTTTGACGATTTCCATTTCCATTTCCATCCGCCCCCGCCCCCCTCCTCGTCCAATTACCCGCTTAGTAAATGCAAGTTCATAAGTAATATGTTAAATGAACAAGTAAAAAATGAACATACTTTGGCTGTGGAAGAAATCTGGCTAGTGGTAATAGCTTCATTGGATCAATGTAGAACTTGTCACCAGCCCCATATGAAGTTGCTACAATACCTTCCATCATTTTAACCGAGAAGAACTACAAATTTTAGCAGAAAGAGAATCCATGTCAGTTAAACACCTAATTGACATAATGAACAAGACCACCAACTTTAGCTAAAAAAACATCAAAGGAAGGTATTGAAAGATGAACAAAATGGTGAAGTCCAACTCACAGATTCATTGATGGGACCAAAGATTTCATCAACTTTGCCAATCTGAGTTTTGTTTTCAAGGTAAATTGGGGCATTAAAATAGGGTATTTTCTCGTTAGTGAGCTTTGTCACTGCATCTCCCTCACAAGCATGAACAAACGACGAAACCTCTGCAATATTAGCAATACATCCAAATTTAAAAATCTACAAATAATAGATTGAAAAGGATTTGATTGCTAAAAGCATACAGTTCGATTATTTCAAAATGGAACAGCCTCAATGCGACAAATAAGGTGTCAAATAATCGACGACTTTGCGATCAAATCTGCAAGTAATGTTCATGTGTAGCTTTGTCTGTGTTGTATGTTTGAAAGATAGATACAAGATGTTTACAAACCTACAACTTGCTCAGGGGGGCCATCATTAAACCGGTCACCACCAAAACGACCGCCACCTCGTCCACCACGGCCACCACCAAATCGGCCACCGCCATCCCGACCACCCCTGAATCCGCCGCCGCCACGACCCCGACTACTGAATCCGCCGCCCCTKGGAGGTCGCATTATTCACTTCGCGGTGGTTGACGAAAAGACACTAGGGTTTTTTGAGGGTTTAGGGTATTTTGCCCCGTTCAAGTTTTGCCTCTCTATTAAACCATTTCTCTTTCACTATTTTCCGAACATTTTTATAAATTAAATAACTTATCTAAATATATTTAGAAATCCAATTGTTAACTTTATGGGTGTTTGGGATTGCTTATTTGAAATAACTTATATTTTTTTATAAAAATATTTATCAACTTATTATAAGTCAGAATAATTTAACTTCTTCAAAAACTCCTTATTACCGGTTTGACACCGGTATAAGTTGTTTATCCAAATATTTAAAAGTGCTTATTACTGGTGCCACACCAGAATAAGTCAATAAATTGTTTTTATAAGCAATCTCAAACACCCTCTTATTATTATTTTGGCAAAATTTATACTATACAGTATTTAACAAAAACTTTTAAAAATCACTTTGTATACATGAAGTACTGTTTATAGATGCATATTACTTAAAATTCAAGATTACAAGTAATTTTGCGTAAGTACAACTTATTAAAACTTTATCTTTAAATTCGTGTAACTAACTGCAGATAAACATAATCAAATACATGATACACATCCATTTTAAATATAGAAAATCTAAAATATAATTAAGATAATCATTGAGTTCTAACATAATGCTTAATTATTGTCTTTATAAAAAATTATGTTATTAAAACAAAATTAAATTACTTTGTTATTAAATCTAAATTAAGTTATAATAAAAAAATTGAATTAAAGAAGTTACACCAAAAAAACGAGAACCACTAAATAGTTAATTTGATACTAATATCGATTTATTTTTTTTAAAAATTTTATGCTATCTTCAAATTTATATTTCATTCAAAAATAAAAACATTATTGTTTTATCAAAAACCACATAAAATCGCATTATATTGATATAGACAAAGAATAAAAACTAAACATTAAAATCGAGATTTATCTCGCTGTATTGCGCGAGTACCCTTCTAGTATATTAAATAAGAGATAAGTCTAAAAAATTCAAAGAAAGTTCCCATTTAAATTTTTTTTTTTCATTTTTTATTGCTTTAAGAAAAATCGCTTTAAGTGTGATTGTCTAAGAACACTGTTTTACTAACAATTAGAAATTAATCATTTGATTGATTGAACAAAAACAGAGTGGAACTACCAAAGTGGTATTAGTCTCAATGAACATATAAATTGATCGACAATAACAATTTTCAAAAGATACTAAAAACATGAACTTAGTCATTTATCAAAAAATGCAAATTATATTTTGAAAGTGATTAATGCAAGTTCGAAGCGTATTAATACGATTAAGAAATGATCTGAAAGAACTTTTAGCAACAATTATGAGACAATTCGTGATCTATCATACGTCTTATAAGTAGCTCACTATCGTTCACGTGTTACAACTTCAACACACAACCAATATGATGTGTAATGTCTAATTAGTTATTGGACCTAAGGATACATGAATAGGTCAGAATGTCTATCCATACCCGACCCTTTTAGGAATGGTTAAACGAATGATCGAAACAAAACATGGTTCAAGCCCAGTCAAACAAAACATGGTTCAAGCCCAAAAGCTCGATCAATTCTACATTATTTATCCAATTAATGGCCCAATCAAGCTCAATCAAACTGTGGTAAAACAAGTGAAAAAAATTGTTTTTTTTTTTTTTGTTCTTAGAAGGGTTGCTTGGGTATAATTTTTTTTTTAATTAACATAGATATCCAACCTGCTATACGAGCCGACTAATCCCAGGACGACCACCTGCTTTGCGGGTAGCTCGGAGTCACCACATTTGAACCTCCGTAGCCACAAGGGGATTTTTATTTCTCTTTGGATTTGAACCTGAGACCTCCAAACACTTTTGACCTTTATACCCTCATATGATACTTTTTACTAATAAAGAATGCTTCTTGATATGTAGGGTACAAGAAACCAAATCAAACAACACAATAAATAACATACAAAGTTGGATCGGAGAATGGATAAGTTGTATACAGCTTTTACCTTTACCTCGAGAAATAAAGACACACGGCTAAAATTTGAATGATTACACTATCAGTTGTATTTGATTTTGTGAAGTGGTTTTAAAGATGCATTCATCAAATACGTTACCTGGAAAGGTATTTTGTGTTCCCCGTCATGAATAGCTCAAAATCTGTTAGGTCATACATGTAAAAAGCAAAATCTACTTGACGGGTTATTCTCCTAAATAACTCTCCCCAAATGCACCTCAATTGGATCTCTATATGATATCCCATTCGACAAAACTTCATCCAATCGAAAAAAACACTTGAAGATAGACGATAAAAGACACAAAATCTACAGGAACCAACGATTGAAATTGAGATCACTTCAAAAGTTCACGAAGAAAAATACCAACGAAGTTCCATCTATTGGCTAGAGGCGAACCATGTACCATTCAAAGATAATCGATCCCTAAAGAATCAATACACCCACCGGTTAATATCCAAAAGAAGAAAAATGCTACAAAATAACAAACAATAGTCTTTGATGAGTTCATACCAAAAGAGATGATTAGCATTTCAAAATTCAAACTATTGTGCTCAATGCTTCATCTTCAAAAACAATGTATTTGTGAAAATGGAAAAGAAAAACAGTTCTTGAGTGTTCTTTTTTGCAAATTTGTTGATTGTTTATGAAGTATCAAGTGATGATTCTGATATGCTAATCATTAGTAGCCAAAAGGGTGGTCATCAAGGTTCAAGTATGTGATTGAACTATAATGCAATGAAGATTAGTGCTCTTCCAAAATCAAAAGTTTTAGCAGGGCAAAGTTTACAAAAAACCAAAACATTATAAGAATCATGAATCTGTTTCCCTAAAATCCTATTGAAGAGATACGATTCAAGTTCAGATCATGAATGGTTACTCCAATTTCGATCAGGATTTCAAAATCAAATACATAGAAGGCATTGAACATCCTCAGGAAATACAAATTCTGCATAGCTTGCAAAATCATCAATATAAACCCCAATTTGCAAAAACCCTCGATTTTTTCCATTGGTTTTGAGGTGTAAGGTAACCAAATCAGGTGCAGAAGTATAGTAATAATGATCTGTTACTGCAGATCTGTAGTAAGAAGTGGTAAATTACAAAAAGAAAAGAAAACTGGAGAATTATTCACCGGTGATCTTAACTGAGGACGCTCTCTCCGTGCGTAGTTTGGGAGTCAATGGCTGAAGAACAGAGTCTCTGTACTTTGAAGGCATTGTCATATTAACTCTTCTCTGTCTTTTAGCTTTGGATTTTGATTTCGATCTGGATCCCGATTTGGATAACAATTGAGTAGTAGTGAGAATAAGATTGTTGAACTGAAGGGGTCTTCGTCTTCTGGTTAAGATTCTCCTTTGAATGTAAGGAACACCAACAACCGATCCTGCTGTAACTTGGTGGATTGCTTTAACGAGTAGATTCAGACCGAAACAACGAGAAGGAGAGGGTGATTGAAACGAAGAAGACGAATCAATCGATGATTCTAACAGCGAATGAGTAGTGATTGAAGAGTGAGATGGTGAAGTAGACGAAGAAGAAGATGATGATGATGATGGATTCGTTGAAGAAGCGTAATTGAGCGACGATTTCTGCATTTTGGTGTGGGATTTCAGTGACGATTGTGTGATCTTCAACAGAAAGAAATGAAATCGGAGAAGATTCTTGGAGTTGGAGACGAAAATCTCTCCGTCTCTAGATGCTGGTGAATTGAGACCGACTGTCGACAGTTCGATGATAACGCCACTTATAATATACATACATACATGCATACATCTATGTATACGTATAATCTATATATATATATATATATATATATATATATATATATATATATATATATATATTAGAAGGGTACTCGCGCAATGCAACCAGATATATCTTGATTTTAATATTTTATTTTATTTTTTATCTCATTCGATGTTATAATATGGTCGTATGTGATTTTGAGAAAGCGATAATGTTTTTATTTTTGAATAAAATATAAATTTGAAGATATCATAAAATTTTGACAAAAATATATCGATATCAGTATCAAATTAACTATTTAAAATTACTTATTTTTTGTGTAATTTTTTAATTCTATTTTTTATAATTTGATTTAGGTACAATAACGAAGTAATTTATATTTGGTTTAATAATATAATTTTTTTATAAAAATAATAATTATTTATTTTGTTAGATCTCGATAATTATT